TAAACTATGCAGGGATTCTGCACGATAATAAATTGTAACGCAATCTTCGCTCTGCAATTTTTTTACACCCGAGGCTCAGATGACCCTGTACAATATTTACTGCAGTATAAATTATAGTTTTGTGTAAAATAACCATATTATGTAATGCGTACGGTTTATTTTTATTTTTTTATCATTCAAGTCATACGCCACAAACACCACAGGAGCCTTCTTCGGCATCACTAATCTCCCATCTTATATAAGCCCAAGTCCATAATAATAAACAACACATTGGTCGATATAACAAAGTGGCTTCTAACTTGGAATATTTACATGGGATAACCGCCGATGATTTCTCGTTTCGGATAGCTTCCATTTAATTATTATTCTCGTAAAAAATTCAAACGTCTTTCTTGTGCGGTCCTGCTTCCCGTATTCATATTTTCGGTCTGTACCACGAGCTATAGTTGACCCGCGTCTTGCGATGTATCTGAGAAATGAAAGACCACCTAATCGATTTAAAATTGTATTACATAATATAGGTAATTCATGTCAGATATTTCCAGTTTTTTACTTTCTCAAGTTTTCTGAAATCTTCTACTCCGTTTTCCATATCAGTCTATGATTTTTCTGATGTCAGCTGTGATTTAAATAACGTGTACAAATATTTATAAGTATAATAACTAATAAATAATAATATAATACGTAAAATGTACATTGTACATGTTATGTTTGAGTAGAATATTTCAACAAAATTAACGAATAAAACAACTATATGTAATTGGTAATTACGCATATTAGTGATTCGGCACATAGTTTAATTAGAAAAATATATTTTAATATATATTCCAGGATTATTCAAAAATAAATTCTCTAACGATAGTATAGCAAGCTATACCAACTCAATGAACTTAATACTTTCAAAAGCAATAACGATAAAACACTAAAAATGTCTATAATCTTACTAAATTTGGTTAAACGCATACAAATTTTTAATGAGCTATTTTATTAATATTTTTTTTCATTTAAAAATAACTATACAATATGACAATTTCGTAGGAGATGAAAATTCGTAAGAACACAAAGTTGCAAAAACAATAGTAACTGCGCATCCATGTACTTACATTTGTTTTTTTTTTTTTTTGTTAGTGAAAACTTTCTGGACTTTCTATAGTAATTTTTTTTCCAAGAATCAGTTAAATAAAATGTTATTCGAGTGTCTTTTTTTAGATTTTATTAACCTAAAGGTTTCCAACCTCTGCACATAATTATTTTTTTAGTCTTTATCCGTTGTAACATTCCTTCGAAGTACTCTCCAAAATTTATTTTCTTTCAAACCTTTGTTATTATTTCACATTATTTTCTCATTTCGTCCTCTCAGCTTTTCAAACAATATACTACTCAGTAACATTTCTTTTATATATTTTTCTTTGTATATGTAAATGTACATATTCATAACTATAAGACCGTAATTATGTTCTATTTAACTATTTCCCCTTCTATGTTGTTACACTTAAACTGTTTTCAAAATTTGTCATGTTATGTTTAATTTTTAAAGCATATTCTTCATATGAATTTTTTATATTTATTTTTTCCTCAATCATTAACTATTATTATTTAAAAATTTTGATATTATTAAACTATAACATTTTACTCGTGAACATTAATATTTTATTAAAAGACGACAATTATTTTTAACATGGTACAGCACCTCACTTTTAATCACAAAAATATTTTATTTATAATTTATATTTTAACTAGCTGTGTAGATAATTCTATCTTTAAAAATTAAATATTTATTAAATTTAGTATAGCATTAACGACATGTCACATAGTTTGTATTTAATAATGACGAAGTAGTAATTAATATTTAATACACGTATGCTTTACCAAGAAGTAAAAACACTTACAAATTATAATATTTACCATCTCAAAAATAATGAAAAAAATCTTTATAAAATAATATTAAATATTGTAATACAATATTATAGTATTAAAGTACAATACAATTGTATCTACTTTCAAATACGTTCCATTGAAAACGTAGGCAGTATATTTTAATTATATATAAATTGAGTGTCGTGTATTAAGTCTTGGTATCAAATCACGTTTATTTTCTCAGCCTGGAGAAAAAAAAGTACTTAAAGAATAATAAAACTTTATTAAGATTATTTTTTTATTTTTTTTTTTTTTTTGGTTATTACCTTTAGTCTTATTATTATTACTTGGCTGCAGACTTTTTTGATTTTAATTATTCATAACCCCAAGAGACGAAATTAACTTTTAGTTTGACTGATAAAACCCACAGTCTATGAACATAACTGTCATACTACACTAGATTCAATTATTATTCCGTTTTGGTTAACCCATTTCTCTCAAGTCAAAATTACATAATGGAGAAATATTTTTTTTCTTTTCTAGAATCATCTTTACTGTGTGGCAAGTAAAACACCAGTAATGAGTGTACCAGTATATTTTTTAAAGCTAATCAACTACTTAAATCATATAACTTTAAATTTCAATGTTAAATACCTAATATAACTTCTAAGTGTCTTATATATACTATACAATACTAAATAAAATTTAAATTTTAGCTTAATTAGATTGAATATCTAAAACTCGTATAGGACAGAAATTAAATAAACCCAAGTCAATCTTACTGAATGAATACTATTTACTTTTTATTTAATAGGTACATCATAGAAATTGGTCCACACATTTAAAACACACAAAAAAACCATATTAAACAGCAGAAAATACCATACAATATTTATTATCCAAATCTGAACACACTCTGTCCATCAAACTATATTTTTAAAACTTATATTATTATAGATGTATAGCATTTAATATACTAAAAATCAAACTATCCATTTCGATCTCTATATTTTACAAACGTACCACAGTAAAAAACACAGCCATTAATATTATACTATCGCTACCACTAATTATTGTAATTATACCATTATTCACTTATAGAATAGGTTTTTAACCGGGGGTCATGGGCCCCTTAGGTGCCGTAGATGGTTACTCGGGAGTCCACAGAGTGACTATGAAGTTTTTTTTAAATAACCCAAAAATAAATTTTTTTTGATAAGGTTTTTGATTATAAGAAAAATTGATTCTGTACAATAATTGAATATAGTTGTAATAATTTGTAGTAGGTATTACGTATTAGATTTATCATTAAGAAATAATTAAATTAAAAATGTCATGTTATTTATATACGTATATATATATTTTTTTTTTTTTTTTTGATGGAGGTCCATGATTAAATTATATGCTTCAAAGGGCTTCTTGGAACAAAAAAAGGTTAAGAATCTAAGACTTATAGGTATATTAACTTCAGGAATTATGTTTAAGAATTATTTCCAAAATCTTTAAAAAAAAATATTTCCTTTACTTGTTACTATAAAATTTCACAGATGAAAGCGTCGCTAATGAGCGACTTATTTCTTATGAAAACATGTCAAAATTAAATACAACTAAAACTAAAAAATTATACTTATTGTAAAAAAAAAAAAAAATTGATCAGACATTATAATTAAAACATATAATTATACATAAAAAAAAGTAGCCGAATGGTACTATACACATTAGATGTTTGGTAGATCACTACTATGTGTATATTTAATTTTAATTCAATGATATATCAAAATACATTATACAAAAAACAATTCTGAGTGGAGACAGTCTGTTTGAGTGTCATCCTAAATCACTAAGTATATTTCATAGTACGTTTATTTGATATGTCAAGCTATTAGTCATTTATTTTACTTTTAGTATTACGGTAGGTTGATATAATTTTTACCAAAAACGTCGCATTTACTTTACTATATTATTTTAATAATAAATTGTATTTATACCATATTATATAAACTTATACAACTCTAAGTTTATAATAACATAATTCTATAAATATCGTATAACAGTAAAAATAAATTCATGATAAAAATGAATGATATTTTAAAATATCTAAATCAAAAATGATATTGTGTGTACTAAAATTCTTAATAGTATAATATATGCTAAATTTCTAAATTCTCGCGAATATTTTTTTTTAATTATAACAAGATAAACATTGCTATTTATCATTTAAATAGGTAAGCAATTTCATCCAAATTTAAACTAAAAATATGTATAAAAATTAATTGCTTTGATACATTTTTTAAGTTTATGATTTCAATATGAACCACTTACGTATGAAGAATCTTGTATTAGATTTTTAAAATTTAGATATTATACAAAAAGATTATGACAACATAAGAATTGCGATTTCATATAATTTTAAGGAATTTTGCCTAAAAACTAAATTCATATGCATTTAAAAAAATTTCACCTATGTATTTTTAATATTTTTATAAATATATAAGAACAATTTATGTGAGATTCTATAATAAAATTCCAAAAATTTTGACCCAGTGAATTTTTCATCGAAAATTTCAGAAAAACAAATTTATTAAGATATTGTTTGTTATGTCTGTAAATAAATAGATAAATAGATATTAATTAAGTTCACAAATCACAAGTTTCTACGTTATTCCAAATTTATTTAAAACATGATAAATATTTTATTTAATATTAAAATCATATAAAAAAGTTTTAAATAAGTTATAAAACTATATTAAGGTTTACCATAACATTATTTTACTCATTGGATTTAAACTTCCAACTTTTTTACTCTTTAATATTTTTTTTTCTTCTGTGAATTATTATTTTATTTCATATGCGACGTTCTTAGTATGTCTATTGTTCAATATTACTCTAAATGAATAATCAAATCTATTATGATGTAGTAATCAATTTATAAATAATTCGTTGGATATTATAATTTACCTAGTACAATTTATTTATCAGTTACTAATAATGAGTAACATCAAACCATAATAAGATCCCCTACTTATATGTAGATAATCATCCAACAAATCTAAATTTTAAAAGAAATATATAAATTATAAAAGTTAATTTTAAAATTAAATTTTAAATTTTTTATTGTTTATTATAATTATATTTTTTTTCAGTAGTAAAAGGCTTACCGTGTACGGTATACAACAAGACGTACGACAATGGAGAAACTTTCAGGCTAGATTGCAGAACGCAGTGCACGTGTCAGGTAATTGATAAATAACTAATTATTTATATTTACCGTTATAATTTAATGCTAAACATTTTTTTTTTTTTTTTAATGAATTTATTTTTATTTTTATTTTTTTATTTTAGTAAAGCCAACAAAGTTTTCACTTCGATAATATATAAATTTATGTTTTACTTTAAAATAATTTATATTGTATTACAGATATAAAATTAAAAAAATATAATATATTATTATAATATACCAACATTTACTATTTTTTTTTCAATAGTGTGAAAATGTTTAAAAATGTCCTTAAATATCCAGCGACAAATCATTTAAAAAAAAAAAAATAGTTAATTATTTTGCACGTAGTACTCGCCGAATATTTAATTTATTTGAATTTTTTATTAAAGTAGTGTAATTCAATCGCTTAACAACGTTTCAATTATTTAAAGCAAATTAAAATATATTTTTACTTACATTTTAATAAGTATACTAAGTAAAAAAAATAAAAAATAATTTATTTATATACAATATTATTTACAATGAGTTCTGACAATTGTATATGATCGTTTATACGTTTTCGTAAGTTGTAATTTCAGTGGAAAACACTAGGTATCATATTTTGTATTATTAGCTGTCAGCCGAGTATCAGAATACATATTAATGTTCATAATACATAATTTGAGTACCCAATTTAAAATAAATTAAATAGTTGTATTATTAATGTTAACACTTTTATTAAAAATCTTCTTATGAGTGATTGAATAATATTAAGCAACTAAAATGTTGCAATATTATCTTTAATTAAATTTGACGAAAAATTGATGGTGATTTTTTTTTCTATTCATTTTTTAATTAAAGTTTGGTTATATTCAAATTTTATAAAATTACGTTATACACAACACATTAAATAATATAAACTAAAAATTACTTATTTTTGTTATACTTTTTAAAAAAATATATAAAACCAAAATAAAACATAAAAATCAAGTTTAAATATAACCTTATATAACCTTGGTTCTCAACCCATAAACTTAACTAGATATTTTATTACTATCTTATAAAAAAAACAATTATTTAAAATGATTAATCCTATGACTTATTATTGTTGAGTATAAAATTTAAAAAAAATATAATAATAATTATTATAGTTAATTAATATTATAAAATTCATAACATAATTAAACACTAAATATTAACCAATAGACATTTATAGAAAATTCTACCAACTTTAACTTACTAAATATAGCTACTAATGCAGAAAAAAATTAGTACTCTAATCTCAAATCCGTACTTATCCAACCAATTTTTGAAATTAATTAAAAATATATCGTATAGTCTATTAAACATTAATTATCTCAATCTAAAATAATAATAATAATAATAATAAAAACAGCATAAATCCATGTATATAGAAATTATGTATACTTAGAAATTTTTCATCAAAAAAAAGTAAGCACCCAAATATATGTTCAATAATAAGCCACGAAATATTTTTTTCAACTAGTCGAAAAATTAACATTGAATAAGTATACTACAAAATTTTTCCTCAAATTCGGCTATTCTTAATATTAAAAGAGATTTTGCACATGTATTAAAAAATTAATATAGTATAATATATAAAAAATATATACCTATAACCGACATAAAATTTGTATTCAAATACAATTTTAAATTGTTGATTATAATATAAATAAATATTAATATGAATTTATATTTATTATATACCATTTACAATTACATAAACTTAATAGGGAAAATAGGGAATATAAAATTAAAGCAACTAACTTTTTCTCAAAAAAAAAAAAAAAGTCAATCTTAGTGACACCTGTACCTCCTTTTTTAGACAGTCAACAAGACACTACAATAGCCAACACAATTAGTATCAAACATAATCTTGATTCATGATATTTTAAATGTGATTACCTATTGATAAAATGAAAATGATAAAAATGTCAAAAATATTCACAACATCCAATACATAAATTATAATATATTATTGACAATATTTTTTTCGTATTATGACCTAACAACGCACACTAATAGTTGTAGCTCATAGTTTACCACTACCAAGATACCACTATATAATTTTAATTTATTATTTATATTATTTGCAACTATTATATTTGTAAATATTGTTTGAATAAAGTGACAAAACATAAATTATACGTAATTATATTACGGTACAAAAATATATATTTTTATTTTATTATCTTTTTAAAACATAACATTTGACATGGTCGTATTAAATATCAATGGGAGGGAAGATTCCAGACCCTCTCTCTAATAAATACACCACTAATGCTTGTATTGCATAACCATAGTTCAATTATAATAAAACATAAGATAATACCGACGCTAAAATTATTTAGACAAGCATATTATGATATAGATTCATACGATCCATGTGTATTATACATATGTTAAGTACATTAAATATTTAAATGTGACTAGAAATCAAGAATGATTTAAAAAATAATAATAATATTAATAATTAAATTATTTTAAATAGAATGATTGGTTTTCAAGTTAAAAATATTTTCATTTATATAAAAATCACGTTAAAAAAATCCATTTACAATATGATAAAAGTAATTGGTGATATCAAAATGATTAACAATCAAATGTCTAAATTAATTATTATTCAATAATACTAAAACGCTATATTTCATAATATAAACAATAGTCATTATATTTAATACACGCTTAATGCAATTAATATGACGTTCATTTAATACATTATTTTTAATAAAAAATAAATCAGATTTGTCACTATTATAAAAAATATAATTATGAAACATTTAAGAGTATAATTAATCATATTTTATTATTTAGTTAAAATTATGTAAAAAAAAAATATAGATTTTACATTTTTGACTAAACGTTCCTAACTTTATAATAATAATACTCTTGAAAGCCTATAAATAAATTGTAAATTTAAAATATCCTCTGCTAACAAATATATTCTCGGATATAGAAACGTAATTATGTTCCAGACAATTTACAAAACCATGATTTAGCAGTAAGTCCCTTATATCGTTTACAGCTTGCCGAAAGCTATATTACCTTGCACGTTATTAGATTTGCCATTGTGGTTATGAATCCTGTGTTTTTATATAGGTGTTTCACCAAACATGCTCACCTCTTTTTTCTTCTTTAATAGTGCAGTTATTCAAAATCTGATTTTTAGAAATTTAAAAAGATCATAATTTTAATTTTTGTAATTATTTTACTATTTCAAAAGTGTCCTGAAGATCTACAAACTTCTGTTTTTCAAATGACCAGGGTATTCTAAGAAGAGTCTTTTTATACAATAAATTATTTAGTAAACATTTTTTATAAAAATGTTAACGTATAAAAATCAATATTTGAACAAACAGTTTTTGAAGTATTCACATTCGTGTACTAAGAATTGGATCTATGGTTATTGAATGAATTTGTATGATATGAGGGATATGGGTAATTTGAAAATGTTAGTAATTTATATTACCTCATCATAATTTATGAAAATGATCTAAGTATAATAAATAATATTTCTGATTTTACATGTATTTTAGATTTTTATAAAACCATTTTTAAGGATGATCATCCTTTACATAAATATTTTAAGAGCTCAAACTACTCATTCTAATTTGAAATTAAGTACATCAAAATTTTAAAAATAATGGTTCCTTAAATAATTTGCAGTAAAAAAGAGAGATTTCATTTGAAAAACAAAATCTAGGATCTCTGAACATACTTATAGTAGTACAAAAAATCTCAAAAATTTTAAAATACGGTCTTTAAGTACCTATGTTTAAAAAATTTAAATACATTCATTATTCAATTAAAACATGGAGTGAATATGCTTGGTGAATCACTCTATATTTTTTGGCAGCTGACAATATACACAATAATACAGGGACGTACATAAAAAAAAGTTTTGGACAATGTTTTTGAAAATCAGTAATTAAAAAATAGAACTTCCTTTTTAATAAATATAGAAAATACACAATTGGTATACCTAATAGGAAATATTTCAATACACAAAAGGTTTAATTTTATTTTACTTCTAAATCCTGTTTAAGTATTTTTATTTTTTTTTCAAAAATATTAAAATTGAATAAGTAAATAATCATACACATAATCAAATATTTTAGGAGGTGTTTGAACACCCAAAAAACCCCCCTGTGTACGTCCCTGCAATAATATTCTGATTTTTATTCAATTTATGGTGCTGGTCGTAATAATTATAACAATCAAATCATCATTAAATTTATAGACCTGATTCGTTTTTATTTATGAAACTGAATAGTTATTCTCTACTGAATTCCTTTTCAAATTGAATTAAGCGATGACATATTATAAACATAAAAACTTTCCATTGTGTTTTTTGTTACAATATAAAATATAAAATCTATTGGAAAGTTTCTGTACCTACGTATATTTTTCAAATATTTTTGGACAAGAGCCAACAACAGAAGTAACAGTTTCTATTTTTTACAATAACTATACAATAATTTATATAATGTATAATTTATAATATTTTTGTGTTTTTGTGAAAAATAGTGGTCATTAATATCAGATCGATTAATTGGTTTTTCTAGAACGGCACTTATGCCTGTGCGTCATTGTGTCCACAAGAAAATATATCTCCTCAAGGACTTTGCAGACATCCTCGGTTAGTCGAAGTGCCCGGACAATGCTGCAGGGAATGGATGTGTGACAACGTAAATAGTAAGTAATATTACACATTTTATTGTTATTCGAAACATATGTAAACAACAGGAATATATTATATAATATACACAACAAAAAATGGTATGCCATAACATAATAAAACATTATTATCATAGATAAAAATGTATTGACCATAAAACAGGTAAAAAAAATATCGATTTAAAACCGACAATAACATATTGTGTAAAAAGGGTAGGAAGTGAGCCATTTTAGTCTGGGGCTGAGCTTGCGGTATGAGCCACAGCTGAGGGTCGCTATTCGTTCAACACTGAAATCCTTGCCATACGAGCCATACATACTATTTTTTTTAACAATGTCAGCCGCCTCTAAAAACTTCTCTATCAATACCACGATACTCCATAATGGACTTTGCATTGGAGTAACCCTCTTACCAAAACATATCGATACATAATCGTGTATGTTAATGTGATTTGAACACAGTAGTGAGAGATTTCCACTTTTTTATACCCTCAGCAGCAGCAGGAATGAAACGTTTACTATCCGCTAGACGGGAAGAGATAATTTTTTTGCGACGCTTTAAACATCGTAAAATATTTAACTTTCGGGGCAGGCATGACAAAAAATCTATTTCTGATTCGATCTAACCAATCGAGACATAAAACTGTATTGTTTCAACTTCGCATAGTAAGATAATATTTCGTGTTTTTATTATTTTTTTTTTCGGAGGGAGTCCTTTAACTGTGACCCCGGAAAACACGTCAAATTGAGATAAAAACAAAACGATTTTTACGGAAGATTGGTAGACAGGAAATTACATTGAAAGATATAGTCTCCCGAAACAACGCATCTACAATATTCTATGGTGATTGGTGGGTCATATTTGACGCGATGTCGACGAATTGATAACATCTTTTCATAGATTACAGAGGCGGTGGGTTTCGATCGATGTTTTAAATGGTCACACGCACACGTACCTACATATACATATACACACATGCTCGTGCGCGCGCGCACCTTTGTGCAGCGCTTATATGCGACTTCGCATTCAATTTCAAAAGAGTCCTTCGAACCGGAATAGCATACGTGGCAGCGAAGAAGGCAGAGAGAGAGCTTTTAAAAACCGTGCATGCGAGTGAAGCACTTAAAACATACGCCACAAATCCTTCGTTCTCAGTCGCTCCCGCCGCGACCGAATCTCTCCCGTCTCTCACTTCCGACCACACGAGACCATGCACCGGGCAGACACGATTCGCGGTCTCGTCCCCGGTGAAACGGAAATGTGCGTCTTCTTTATACATTTATGATAACGATTAATATAACTATCATATTATTGCGTTATCCGCGCTGTATCCATTGTTCGTGTTTTGTTCACTGGCGTGTTTATTATAACAACACGCAAAACATTGTCACCGCGTCATAGTCGAACTTAAACTATATTTCCGCATCGTCTTCCATGTTCTCGTGAAACAATCATAATACAGACGTACTGATATCCGCGAAAATAATCCCGTATAATCTTGTGATCTCCATTGGTAAGTACTGAGTACAAACGCCATCCGACAATGAAATCAATTAATTTCGTTTACTATTTAATTTGATTGTAATTTCGATTAAAATCTATTTCGCCAACTACTATATTTGATTTATTCGTCGTTTTCGATTTACTATACTACTTTATTGATAACCAAGTCTATTGACAGAGCAATATAGAACACCTGAACAAACTCTCAAACCTTTTTGATTTCCGTGAGAAAAAGAAAAAGACTTTTGACAATTGAAATCAAGGATTCAATTGTACTATTGAAAATAAATACAACTACTGAACACGTGACACACATAATATAAAAATGATATTAATCGACCTATATGGTCTAATTTAACGTAAATAGTTATGAGTTATTATTGGTTATTCATATTTTTCAGACAAATCGTAGGCAATTATGTAGCGTAAAAATCACTGCGGGAAAATTAAAAATATTATATAATAATTGTTACGTGTCGTATTACTATATAAGTAGATTTACTTTTGTAGAAAATAATCTTGAACCATAATGAAGAAATGTATCGAAATAATAATATGTTGTACAGCATATTATTGGAAATATTAAGTCATATTTTTTTAAATCGAATTATTAAAATACATCAAATAATATTAAATTCAAAAGAAACTATAAAATTTATGTCCAGTACTTCAAAAAGTCCAAATTTTTTTTTAATTTTAATAATTCTTCGAAAGAAGTAGCATAAAACTTTAACCAAAACTTAAATACACAAAAATATTATATTTCCAAGAATAAGAAAAATTATAATGCCATGGTGAGACCACTGACAAGGTTTAGTTTTTTCAAAAAGGGATTGACCGTATAACGTTAATTTTAAACTTCTGTTACATATAAAAATTATACAAAGATATTTAAAGCCGAAAATTCAATTTTTAATCTTTGATAAAAAATACAGTAAAAGTATTATACAAACGTAAACCTACAAAGATATTATTCTTATTGTTTTTTGTTAAATAGTGTTATGTGGAAAAACAACAATCTACTCGAACTTCAAATATACTATTATCGTACTTATATGACGTATAATATAAGTATTTTTTTTTTTTATACACATAATACTATTCTAAATAACAAGTTTTAAATAATGGTTGATTCATATATTTAAATAAAAACTACAAATATTGAACAAATATAAATTTCAATTAAAAAAAAAATACTTTCGAGTCTAAAGATAAAAATGAAATATAATCTTTAAATAGAACTTTTCCATAGGTATTATTAATAACAGTACTAATATAATATATAGCTTGTATATTTTAAATTTATTATTATTTATTATTCAGTTGGATCATATGTTATTTGTACACGCATGGTAAAAATGTTGTTAGACCATTTCCTTTAATCATATAATAAATCAAGTTTTCAAAGGCGTTTTACAATTTATATATATATATATATATATCACATATGTGTGTGTGTATACTATTTACAGTAGATTTTTTATGTATTACGTCGGTTCAAAATCCGGTGCGCGCATTTTATTTGTTTCAAACTCATCCGCAACTAAGACGGTAATTAAGCATATATACGCGTCACATACCAACTAAAGTCATATTAGATCGTACACGCACGCTTAGTGTCTGAACTAATGTGCTGGAAACGTGACGGGATTAAAACTTAAATTGGGTTCCACATGCAAAAGATCTGAAGGGTTTGAATCATTTAGTAACATCGAAAAAAGAATGCGGAATGGTTGCAAAATATACATTTAAAATTAACGTTTCTTTTGACAGAATTTATTTATTTTTTCCCTTTTATTCTTTACTTGTAGCATATCTATTGTTTATTTTACGCCTCTTTAATAATTCCTATGGTTTTTTTCTTCGTCGCCATCCTAGATGGACCAGAAAAAGTAATGGCCGACGATGAATAATTTATAGTTTAACCGTGTATTTGATGAATTTTTAAGGTTCTTGTCACACCGAAACACACCATGTTCGAGGCTGAGATTGAATTCAATCGACCGGATAAGCCTCGAGCATGCCAAACACGAAATTGATTGATAAACCATCCCAGTTCCGACAAGTTTTGAACAATTGATGAGATTAAAAATGCCCTCGATAAATCGTTAAGTTTTACTTTAAGTCAAAATAATAGATGAATTCTTTAGGACATATTAAAAACAAATATGATACAAACACGGAGTAGCTTGTTAGGTATCGAAAAAAAAGCTCAACTTCACTGCCTATAACGAAGTACCTATCTACTAAGTTAATAACATACCTGTAAATAATGTTAACATCCAAATTACATCATGAGTTGTTATCAAACATGTTTAATAACTGAAGATGGTTTGTCATTTTTACAATGTTGTATTAGATTCATAGAATACTAACATGAAAAGTTATAAAAAATGTATTATTATTTATTTGTTCACCTATATATTAGTTAGAAATTTAAATATATAAAATATATGTTTTTGTTTTAGTGGAAAGGCCGCCCAATTGTGAAGCATTAGTCACGCCATGGGCGGAATGTTCATCCCAATGTGGATTAGGCCTTTCTAGACGTATGTCTAATGCAAATGAAGCGTGTAAGCCTAATAACGAAACTAGACTTTGTCAAATAAGGCCGTGTCACTCACCACCACTGGTGAATGCTAAATATGCAAGACACCATCACATTCGAGTAAGCATAATATAATATACTAATGTTTAACTTTCTCAATATTATATTAATATTAACTATAATTTCAATTTATTCGTGTTTATGATAAAATCAAAAATAATTAAATTAATTTTCGTATAAAAAAAAAAAAAAAAAAAAAAAATGAAAATTCACTGTTGAAAACTAAATAATAATTCAAAAAAACAATGCTTACACATTACACTTATTGTATTTCCTAAAATATATTTTAGTTTTAGCACCCAAACTATGTATCTAACAGGTTACTGTTAAATTTACATCCAAGTCATTAGTTTTATTTATTTTGCACTATATAATATGAATATTATTCTTTTTTTTCTTAATTAAGCTTTGATAACTTAGGCCATTAGCAGTGAGATTTTTAATGTTTGTTACAATAGGGTTATATATGATTTTGGAATACGTGTTATCTGTATATATAATATAGTTTTATTGCTAAAAACCCAGGTGATCAACCATCAGAGAGCTATCAACGCCAGACGCTGCTTGACCGTACCACTATTTAGCGACTAAATATATATATATATATATAAATTGGTAAAATTGCTTGAAAATTTAACATAAAGTTTCTAATAATTAGTTAATTTTCCAATTAAAAATATCAAAAATATATATAGTCAAGAAATTTTTTATATGGATATGAACTTAAAATTTCGGCAAGATCCCTCAGAAGTTAGAATTACAAAAATTGCAAATTATTTTGTAGCTATAATCTTTTCGTTTAATAACTAAATTTTGAAAATTTAATATAAGATTCCTCATGTGTAAGAATTGTAAGATGTTCATACTGAAATCATTAACTTTAAAAAATACATAAACGTAATTATTATTTTTTTATAGTTACTTTAAGTTGAAATTTAGACGATATTAATTATTTAAATGATAAATAACAATGTTAATTATCTTGTTATAATTTCAAAAAATTATTCACAGAATTTAAAATTTCTACGTATATTATATTAATAAGAATTTTACTATGCATTTTTTAATTACACTATGAACCTATCTTTCAGTTTTACGGTATTTACAAAAAGATATTATTACATTTTAAATTATATAAGTTGATATGATGTAGTATAAATATATTATTATACTAATTAAACACTAAAAATATAATAATGCAATATTTTCGAAAAAAATTACACTAATTTACATTAATACTAAAATTAAAATAAATTACTATAATATTTATGAAAAAATATCAAAAATAAAAATAAAAATATATCATGAAATATACTTAGTGATAAAAGCTGACTAATTAGGTACAATTATTTATTATTTAATTCAAATTTAACACGCCCATAACAGTGACCCACTTAACAAACATCTAATTATGTACAGTAGCACAGTACCCATTTAGCTACTTATTTTTCTTTATTTGTCACAAATTCATAATACACTATACTCAGATCATTTAAATTATTTTATTTTAATGAATATTTAATATTTTAATAACAAAATTATGTGAAGAAATAATTAAAAAAAAAAAACAATTGAATTTCAGTAAAATCAGTATCATTAATTTTGTAAATACAATTATGAAATTTAATTCAAATTGAACTATAAACCTATGTATTCCACAATAATATATTATAACTGTTAATATCAGATTTAAAAAAAATATATCAATGCAAAGCTTAAAATGTAGTTGAATATATTTAGTCATATTTAATTTAAAAGCCTACAAATGTAGGATTTACAATTTTTCAAAAGCTCCGTCTCCAACCCATTTAAACTATTGTATACTATACATTACCCCCCCAATATTCTAGTGATTTACGTAGTCAAATTAACGCAATACATATAAATTATAATTTAATTAAAAAACAGAAATATTAATTAATGTATGTACGTACACAGTGGTATTCTATTAAATAAACCGTACCACATCCATTAAAATAAAACATGTACATATTTAATTATAATTTATTTTTTATGTACTTTCTTCAAGTAATTTCAAACGAATATTATTTTAATGACAAAATAATGTTGAATCGACTAAAACAGTTTTTTTCTGGTTTTATTACCAACTTGTACGTGTTCAATAAAAACTTCGACGTCACGTGAAGCTAGCCATTAGTATGTAAAAAATAAAATACGTTATATCTTCAATATCCATATGGCGTATACGGTATACGAGTTGTAAAAACTGAATAGTTAAATGGAATAAAATAAGAACGCTCCGCGTAGATTTAAAACCAACGAGACGAAGGAGTACGTGCACTGCTACCTTGATGGTAATGCGTCCGACCAACCACCGTTATCGCATCATCATCCTGATAAATAATTTTTTTTTTAATGTGAATTCCATTATTCATGTTCAGAACCCTCATGCATTGAAGGATAGGAAATAATACAATTTTTCACGACTGAAACATCTGGTCGAATGCTGTGACGGGTAATGGGAAGGGGAAAATTTGAATGCTTTACTATTGCACGTCACGTCTACAGTATTTGTCGTCGCGGGTCGTGTTTACCTTTTATTTTAACCGCGCCCCATCCCATTCGCGCGGACAAGTTGGTTCTGGCAGGATAGACTAATGGGCGTACCAAAAGGAGACAGAATAGAGGGAGAAAGACAATGAATCAAAAATATTCCAGTTGAAGTCCGAAAAGTCGGTCGACAACTTTTACGCCTCGGATTCAATCTGAATAGAAATTAGTTTGTTCTTTTATTTCCTATGCCTACATATATATTATTATACTGTTTTGGAAATCATAAAAGTTACTTATAGGGTTAGCAACAAAACTTTTACCGATAACGATCGTAGAGGATATATTTTTATTCGTTTTAAGGCCTGGATATAATAATAATTTATTGAAATATTTTATCTTCGCCTAACACAAAGACACATTTCAAAATATTCAACAGAGAATCAGTTATATTCTTAAATCTACACCAGATTTAATAAAATTAAAATAAACTTATAACTAATTAAAAATTAATGACCCTAGTCGATGAACTATATAATATACATCACATAAATTTGAATGACTTTTACGTATACCTACTTAAATTATTTAAAATATAAAAATGCACGATAAAAAACACTAACTCATCCATGGGTGTCCCTAAGGGGGCAAGACGAGGCACTTTCCCTATCCCCTAGAATTTTAAATTTGTTACTGTAACAAATTGTAATAATTTAATGTAATAATGACGAAATATAATAATATACTATCAAACTCGATTTATTTGCTACAGAAATGAAAATTTTAAATAATAGATTGTCAAGTACCAACGTCATTTTGACGTTGTCTAAGCTAGAGAATATACGAGAAAATGTCTATTCTACCTGCTAACCATTTAGCTTCTGTCACAGGTTATATAAATTACCTACCACCGCAAGGCTAACAGTACTATAATTATATCTCTATTCATGTGTTTCTTTGACCACACATTCTAGGCAACCACCTTTGTAATACTATATACGACATAATATTTGTTTCGTTTAATACCCCTATCTATTACAAATAAATTATCTAGCTTAAATATATACTCACTTTTCTTGTTTGATGTTTATATTCTGTCCATTTCGAAATTACCTGTGTCGAAGTCACAAACAATAATAATATTCTATTGCTTTCTAAACTAAATAAATTATGTTAACGTTTGTTTTACTTTTTTAATGCGCCTCTACTTTTATTTTACCCATTATTATCCTCATTTCGCGACAACAAAGACTAAGAAATATTATATATTTATATCTATATTGCAGTATAACGCAGTATTATGTTAGTTCATTGTCATAATTTTTAACAACATTATAGGTACCAACTTATTTAATTGAATTTTACAAGACTCGGTTGTAAAAATTCGATTGTCCCAACGTTTATATAGATAAATTGTAGGCATGCTGGTATTATACGATTTACTACGGTAATTGCGCGTGAAATTCGTTACCATAAAAAATAAATAATCATAAACATTACAGCGATTTTGGTGAAATAAACTTCATAGGAATAAAAAAAAAATAAGCTCAATCAATTACGTGGGATCGGCATTCAAAAGCGTTTTTCAATTATTTCAGTTTCCCTAGCCTCATGCAATTCGTTTTCGGAAAAAGAAATCACGCAATAATAAACTGTAGTACAAACAAAACGCATTGGCCGTAATTTTTTATTCTTGCAATCATAATAGCGTATAATTTATATCAACAAATTATGCTAAGTATTATAAATTAAAATAAAGTTTTTATAAATTTTAAAGAGTATAAACTTGAACACATTTTTAAATGTTAAAGATTGTTATTTAAGTGATACCTACGAAAAATAGGTATTTGTGCATAAACACTACATGCGATTTTTTTGTCTCGATAGTAAAATTATCAAACATTTTGATGGACATCTTTAGAATACCACTGTCATGGGTCCATTTTTCTTAAGTTTTTAGGGGTAAAGTTAGGTTAGTAAGTTATAGTTTTGATACAATTTAGTTACATGTATATACAATTTCTATACCTAATGTACGTCATGCGGTATACAAAATTACCTGTTACCATTCTGATTATATGTAAATATGTAATTGTAGCTATTGATTTGTGATAATGATAAATAATACAAATTTAACAAACTACTATAACTGCCAAATATTTTTAAATTCTTTCAATTTCAATAACATTTATTTTTATCATTGTAAAAATGTTATAATTATATAATATTTTCAATGGTAATAATACCACCACAACTTTAACTGCACACGACCACTTTGGTAACTATACTAACTATACAGTATGCTATTCAATCACACTTGAATACAATTTCCTGTCTATGAATATATAATCAATGGCAATAGCTGTAAGTTACTCAAAATGTTTATTAGATTTTGAGTGGAGCGACAAATGTGTTAGTTTTACCATATTAAGTAAATGGTTTATTTTCTGTCTGTTATCGTCTTTTGGGACAGTAAAAATAATTTAATTTTCAACTTTGAAGGTGGTTTTGGAATTTCGAATAGCAAATTATATTTAGTCAGTACTTTTGCCAAAAGTAAAAATTGTCCAGAGTTTTATTTAAAAATAGGAAAAAAAACTTAAGGAATAACGGACATTTTTACGCTAAACTAGTCTTCGGCCGAATTCGTGAAAATTGTGAATACATAAACAAATTCTAAGTGTTTTGTAGTAAAATGTTATTATTTTAAAGTCTTAAATTTTCATATAAGTACCCATAGCCACTAGCCAAGAACATTATATTAAACGTTTTAATTTCGATGCTCATCACTGTTGTACGTTCGTTTCCACAGAAGGGCCACGAGTGCAAGGCGACGATCAAGTCGACGACACCGGTCCGGCTGAAGTTTGGCGACTGCCGGAGCCGGAAGACTTTCCACCCGAAGCGGTGCGGCGCCGCGTGTCCGTCCTCGGGTGGCGGCAGTGACATTGTGTGCGCTCCCGAGCTCAGCACCACGGTCAAGGTGGAATTCCTGTGCAGGAGTCCGGTGGAGGGCCACGACCGGCTAGACGGCGCTGTCCCCGGTGACGATCTCTGGGAACCTGTGCGCAGGCCCTTTTCGGCCACTGCGGACGATTATGTGCACAGCGTGTACGTGGACGTCGAGTGGATCGTCAAGTGCACGTGCCGGCGGCGCACGGACTGACGACGGCGGCGGCCGTGAACCGCCGGGCGCCCGAAGCCGACGCCGCCGCCACCGCAGCAATCAGCCGCCCGCGACTTGGCCGAACTGTAAACGTTATTATTTCAATAATCGCGACACACACGCACAACACACACACACACACACACACACACACACACACACACACACACACA